TTCTTGGAGATTAAATGAGTGAGTCACAACAGAACAGGTTAATGAAATTCATGGACTTGTGGAATGAATGATCTATGGAAGGAATGTGTTTGATGATCCGACTGCTTTTTGTTCTCATTTTATGCTTTCTCTTTTCATGGAGCTCAATTCTAGCATTATATGCCCACACTCCCTGCCCTCCACCCCTCCTGATCCCAACCCCCAGCTTGGGTGCACATCCTTGACTGTCCAGGGCTTCAGGACATTCTCCCGACATGAAAGATGCAATAAAAATGTAATTTGTTGTTGCATATTCAACCCCTGTAAAAGTGAACCTACACATATGATGGGTACAACTTGATAGCACACAGCTGCTCACAATACAGCTTTACATTTGCATTATATTAACAATGTCACTCAGACAGACAATCAGTATGACTATACGGGAAATTTCTCACTGGCTGTTGTTCTGAGGTTGCATTGAGGAACTTGTTGGGACAAAATAATGCAAGCTATCACAGGCTTTGTAATCTGGCCCTGAGTTGGGAGATATTGAAATTGATATTCAGTGAAATATAACACCCCTCACCTTGAGCAGCCAAATTCAACCCAAAACAGAATAAACAAGTCGTAGGTTGGCAAGAGCACTTGGTAAGTTACCATTACTGACAATCCCGAAGAGGCTTTTTCTTCACCAACAAGGCAGAGCACCCAGCACTGCCTGGTCTTCATTACCTGATGGTGCTTCATAATTATTCATGTTATGTCATGATTCATGTCACGATAATTATTCAAGTCATGTCATGATTCATGTCATGATAATTATTCATGTTATGCCATGATTCATGTCATAATTATTCATGTCATGATAATCATTCATATGGGGAGGACAAGTTTGCAAGGCTATGGGGAGAATGCGGGGGAGTGGGATTCAATTGGATAGCTGTTTTAAAAGAGCCGGCACAGACACGATGGGCCGAATGGCCTCCTTGTGTGCTGTATAATTCTATGATTCTATGATTCTACAATGTCACCTACATGAACCAACTGCTGTGAGATCACAAACCCAATTTCTACTCTACTGTCTAACCCCAGCAACCAGACATGGTTCTAGGATATCTTATTGGTCAACCAATGCATCAAATGTAGAGAACGTGTTCACTTTTCAATCCATACATGCTTTTACATATAGTGATTGCCTGATGGAAAGTCTTTGTTATAATAAAATAATAATAATAATCCTTGCATTTGATATAGCACCTCATCACGTCAATGAGACATATCAAAGTCCTTCACAGAATCTACTGTAATAATAATAATCCTTGCATTTGATATGGAGCTTTTCACATCTTCTCAATGTCTCAAAGCGCTTCACAGAATATGCTGTAAAGTGAATTGACTGTATATTTGTGGGCAAACACAGGCAGCCAATTGCGCACAGCGGTGTCCCACAAACAGTCGTGGTTTGAGTGACAAAATTATTGTTTCTGGAATGTGGATGGAAACATGACCAACTTGAGCTTTGATGTCCTCCATAGGCAAACAGCCTGCTTACACTCACTGTCCGGGCTCACCCAAGAAGAATGACCACTTAATAATAATAATAATAATAATAATCCTTGCATTTGATATAGCGCTTTTCACATCGGGAGGACGTCCCAAAGCGCTTCACACAACACACTGTAAAGTGAATTGTCTGTATACTTAAACAAGATAACAGAGGGACAGCCAATGTATGTGTGCCATACCCCTGCAAAGACTAACTACCTTCTCGAGAATAGGAGGAGCGAAGAAAAATTGACAAAAAACGTAGACCATTGCCACAGCATATTACCATAATATTGAGCCTTTGTGTTACATTACTGACAGTAAACACAAACAGCACATACAGAGAAGTGCTCAACATTCAAACACAATGCCAGACTATAAAGTAAAACCTAAAGCAACTAATAATAAGTCTACCTAGTTTATTATTGACAAACCTCAAACCCACATTATAAAATGTCATTACTTTATTTGTACATTACATACATCAAATAGACTGTCAGATTTTTACGCAGTGTTAGATCCCAGCACTTAACCAAGGATTCCATTCACAATTATTAGGCCTTCAGACAGCCACACTGTTTTCAAAGTGTAGTAACCATTCCTCTTAATGTGTTTGAAGTCCCTTTTCTCTCAAGTTTCTCAGCAAGTTTTGGATATGTATGGCATCACCCCAGTCTTTAGTTTTATAATATTGAAGAGCTGCCCAGTTTGGGAATCTTTTTTTCACATGATTTAATTAAAAGCCATCCTTCTACCAAACACATGCACATATGGCTGAAAGTACCATTGTTTTAGCCCATTTGAGAATGCAGCATGCGGTACTCATTCATCATTTATGTCAGTCTTACTCACTGGTTTTCGTTCATGCCTGTAATCCCAAACTCAAGGGTCACTACGAGGAATGCACCAGAACCCTACGCTGTGATGTGATGGAACACAGTGGCGTCCATGACTCTCCACACAGAGAGCTATCGATTTCAATCACACCACTGTGCAAATCCATCATATCGCCAGAACCAAGTAATAATAATAATAATCCTTGCATTTCATTTAGCGCCTTATCATGCCTTCAAGATGTCTCAAAGTGCTTCATAGAATATACAGTAAAATGAATTGACTGTAAATTTTGTTTAAATGTTAAATTTTGAGGTGGAGGGAGGCCATGAATGTAAAGCCGGAGGCACAAGGAGAGAACGTTTGCTGTAAATGATCCCAGAGCTATATTATGAGCAGCACTGACCTACTAGCTAGCACCGCTAACCAACAAACACAATAGCAGTTTCTATTTTTAATTTTTCCTTTTCTATTCAGCGCTGTCCAACCCAATGGCCACTGGCCTCACTTGGTCATTTTGCTGTTCAGATGTGACCACTTTCACATTGATGAATTAATTTGCGTTTCACATAGAAAATAGAATACAGACTGCAAAATCTCTTGCTTTGTGTGATCCGACATACAACCACAATTGTTATAATGTAGTTTAATTATCATATATCGTGCATCCGACACATAATAATAATAATCCTTGCTTTCAATATAGCGCCTTATCATGTCATTGAGATATCTCAAAGCGCTTCACAGAATATATTGTAAAGTGGATTGACTGTATTTTGTGGGCGAAATGCGACAGCCAATTGACACATCAATGTCCCACAAACAGTCGTGGATTGAGGGATCGCATGTTTACCCCCGGAAAGAATCCAGCAGCAGCACATATTCTGCTTGGTCTATGTTTGTTCCTGACTGGTTAGATGCACCTATTAGACATAACAGTTTTCCCTCATGTGTTGGCAGTCAGTCACTGTTCTCAAAACCCGGTCAGTCCTGTTGTCTACCAACAAATATATTGTTAAATCAATTTGTGTCTTTCAAATGTAGCCATTTTTATCTGCAGTGGTACACCTATGGCCAGTAATTAATTTGGGTTGATCAGCACTGTCCTATTTATCAATCCACCAGTGTCAGTCCTCTGTATCAGGATGCTTGCCATCACATTGTTCCGTGTTTATCTTTAGCATATTATAATTATTACATGCGCGATACAAATGTAATTTTGTTGTTGTTGTTGTACATACCTCACATCAGAAAGCAGAAAGCCATAGGTTGAAGTTCCATTATGTACCGAGTTACCTAATCTCAGCCGTGGAAACGGTTTGGACAACTGATCACTGCAGCGTCTTCCATTGGATGATCCTTGTAATAATAATAATAATCCTGGCATTTTGTTGTAGCGCCTGATCATGTCGTCGAGATGTCTCGAAGTGTTTCATAGGAAATACTGTAAAGTGGATTCACTGTGTATTTTGTGGGCGAAGGCGGTAGCCCATTTGCACACATCAGTGTCCTACAAACAGTTTTGGAATGAATGACCAATTTAATTTGGAGGATTTGTTGGCCAGGACACCAGAAGAAACTCCCTTCTCTTTTTGAAAAGTGTCATGGGATATTTAATGTCCACCGGAACAGGCAGACATGACCTGGGTTTAACATCTCATTTAAAGGATGGCATCTCCGATAATGCAACCATCCACTCTCCAGCACTGCACTGGAATCTTAACTTGGACTATGTGATTCCAAGTCCCAGTGTGAGAGGTTTGAACTCACAGCCTTCTGACTTAGACGTGAAAATGCGACCATTGCACCAGGCTGAGACACAATTTGTACACTTTAGGTGTGAGATGGAAAGTATCAAGGAATTGTCTCAATGGGAAGGCAGTGTGTTATACAATAATTGGTTCCAGTCTGTGCTTCTTGGCTCTGAAGTCAGGGCGGTGTGTTCAGTACTCCCACATCACCCTGGGTTATTTCAGAGCACTCTAAGCACTCCAAATAGAAATTATTAACAACTACAGTGAAGCTGACAATGCAATTTTGTTAAGCCTTTGGGGTCTAATCTTTGAAAATGAATCGAAAACCTACATATAAATTATCCGATAGCCTAACCATTGCATACTTTTGCAGCCGAACAAAAATAAACCCAAACCACAAAGTTATATAAATCTACCAACCACGTTGTATCACTGATTTGCTTACATCACAAAATCTTGCTTTTTTTTACACTATTTGTCCCCACACCAAATAGCAGAGAGAGTAGAATAACTAACTCACTGACAGCCATGAATTGTGTTAAGTGGAAGTGGGTTAAATAGTCATTTGCACACACACACACACAAATAAAAACAATTGTGTGTGTTTCAAACTGGTTCCAGAACCAAATATGTTCCAGGTTCAATAGCCCTCAACACCACTGTGCAAGGTTTACTGTGGAGACTTGTGACTCCTGGATTTTGCTGTCTGTTTTCCAGCTCCCTCCCTAGATACAGGCACAGTGGTGTGATTCATGTAGACTACTGCCCCCTTTTATGTTTCCCAAGCTTTCTGCCCATTAAGCACCGCACCCATTGATTTAAATGCACAGAATCCCTGGGCACCTCATGTTACACACACACAGTCTCCTGTTCAAGTGCACTTACCCCGTGAATTGATGCTCCACTGTCGGTGTGCAGGGTCCCACTCGTACCCACAGGTATCCCTGATGAAATTGCAAGATCCATCGCCCTGTTTCCCAGCTCTGGCAAACTGCAACACTTCACACACGAAACCCAAAGGACAAACAAACAAACACACCAAAGGACAAGTTTCAATGCAGAGTATTTCAGAACATTAAGTCATTCAACCACCCCCCCACACCCCCCCCACACCCCCCTTCCGATTGCCCAGCAAACCATGCCTCAAAGCAAAGTGACCTGAAGTTCTCATTAACAGGTGCATTTAGCAATGTTAAACCTGAGCAGCTCGGGTGGTGGGTGGGCTGTGAGGTGCGGGACAGTATTGGTGCAAACGTACCGTGCAGAATCAGGAGGAGAAGCGCCGGCATGGCTGTGCCCAGTGAGGATCCGAACTCCTGTGTGCAAAACCATTCAGTGGCTCTTCATCCCACTAACTCCGGAGCAGGCGATCCGGGATCAGGAGCTCTCACAGCGCTGCTCACAAGCGATCAGCGGAGCGTCTGCTTTGTATCAATCAGATTTCGTGGTGAAGACAACCACAGGGGGAGGGAGGGGGGTGAGAGGGAGGAGAAAGAGTAACGAGATCCAGACTCCCAGAGATACACCTACAAACTTCTGCTGCCAGAGAAGTTATTTTTTTACTCTTCAGTCTGAAATAAACATAAGATAATGATACATTGCAATATTTGCTCACATACATCTCTCACTGACTGGTCTGTGTGTGGCTGCTTTTACAATTGCTGCTTTGTTTTTCCATGTAATGTCTGACATGCATTCATTTCTCATCTGACTGTAATATATATATATATATATATATATATAAAGAAAAATGCATTTCAGCTCATGATTGTCAACTCTGACAAATTAAGCCCTGGATGCCATGAAGAGAATAGCTCGTAAATGGAGTGAGAGAAACTGCCTGGAGCTGTGCCAACATCGCTTTTAAAAAGGGAAATTGTCCAAAAATTTTACCACTAAAAGAATAAGTATAAGGCAACATTTGTGGGTGTATTGTCAAATTAACGCTTGTAAATCCTTTCCTAACACCTCACCCGGAGTTACCACATTGCACAGATTTGACTTTGTTTCAAAAAGTGTTTGTATATATATATATCCCCCCAAATATATTGTATATTGTATTGGGGTATATATATATTGTATATGGTGATGTACACATACATGATATAATAATAATAATCCTTGATTTGATATAGCACCTTGTCACATCTTCGAGACATCTGAAAACGCTTCACAGAATATACTGCAAAGTGTGACTGTATTTTGTGGGACAATTTCGCACAGCAGTGCTCCACAAACAGTTGTAAATTGAGTGACCACATTTTTTTAAAGGGATTATTACCCCCGGAAAAGCGATCCGCCAGCCGATTAACAACCGGGTTTCTACTTACTGTTGGTAAACAGAGGCATGTGGAGTAAGGAAACTTGCCTAAGGTTTCGCCGTGCCGGGGAATCAAAAACAGGACCTCTCGCCTGCGAGGTGAGAGTTCTAACCAATACACTATAGGACTCCACAAATTGTAGTTATACAATGTGTATATTGTATTTGGGGATATATATATATGATATATTGTATTTGAGGGTGGATATATATAATATATATATTATATTGGATTAGATTTGCTGCCCATTTGGACATGATGAAGCACCTTGTTATTGTGTTAAACGTGTTACTGTGTTCCAGAAGCATTGTTGCCATTCAACAACAACAACAACAACAACAACAAGATTCCATTTATAGAGCGCCTTTCACGTCGGGAGTGCGTGAATATTCAATAACGTTACAGGCTTGGAATGCCACAGGCTGTTCACCTGATCTCCCTTCCCCTGGGGGAAAGAGAGCGACTCTTTATCTTAATTAAAATCGTTGCAACAGGGTGGGTCAACCCTTCTCATTCTTCGCTCATCATCAAAAAAATGATAAAGATCATATAAAGATCTATCAGCCTGGCTCAGTTGGTAGCATCCTCAATTCTGAGTCAGAGTACCTCACTGGAATGGCCATGCTTGATGTGTAAGACTAAACAACAACAGCAACAATAACTTGTATTTAAATAGCGCCCTTCACTCAAATAGTGTCTCGGAGTGCTTAACAGCAGCGTGGTTTGATGCTGAGCTGGAAAGATAAGGAAAGTGACTGAAAACATTGTCGAAGAGGAATGTCTAGATGTGATTTGAAGACGGGCAAAGAAGGGGCAAGATGGAGGGACAGTGATCGCTGGCAGGCTATTCAACCATCACAGCAAAACCCAATCCTATCCTCACAGAAGACTCATCGGGTGGACTAAGTGGACTCATGGTCTTTTGCCTGGAACTGTTACAATGTAAATTTAATTTCAATTAAAATTAAAGAAAAAATTCTAATAGAAGATGTATTATTTATTTTCTCATGGTTTTATTATTTGAATATTTCTGTTTTTTGTGTATATTTGCAATGGACAAATGTAAATAGTGGCCATATTAGCTTTCAATAGGGAACTAGATAAATACCTAAAAGGAGTAAGCCACAGGGTTATGGAGAAAGGGCAAGCAAATGGTCTCAAACGATTGTTTTTAAAAGAGTACCACAGACACGATGGGCCGAATGGCCATCTTCTGTGCTGTAAAGTTCTGTGCTTCTATAAAGCAATATGTGAATGAATGACCAACATGCCCTTTCTTTCAAAAAAAATCTATTATATATTATCGAATTAATGGACACCACCGAAACCATAGAGCAGATTACTAGAGTTTACTGTGCACCTTATGATCTTAATTTGTACTACAAATTATATTCTCAGTTAAGAAAAGTAAAGGGAGGACACATTAATAAAATTTATTTTGGAAATATGAAGAAACATTTTACATTTCCAAACTACTTTCCATCAGTTATATTTTACAAACTACATTTTGTAACTACAAATGTTCAGAGTTATCAAATAAACCTGATAACTTGTCACTCCAAAGGAAAAGGACGCAGTAAAGAGTCAGACTCCGCCACTGTTAAGCACTCTGAGATGCTACACTGCGTGGAGGGAGCTATATGGGTGCAAGTTGTTGCTGTTGTTTCTGTATCTGGAATGGCAAATTAGGCATAAGTGTAAATACATAAATAAATATGGTTGGAATATTGACAACATGATGACTTAAGTGATAGTGACAATTTAAGCCAGAGTCGAGTTAACAGCAGTTTACTGTATATGTGGGAGGTTTGGGCCATGTAATGGGACAATTATACCATCAAACAACCCAAATTTTCCCCATTGTAACAGCAGTTTCTATTTTAGGGTAAGAGGTTGGCTATTTTAGCCTGACATTTTATCAGCATAAAACATCAACTGTACTTAAAAAAGACTTGTGGCGTAATGTTGAATGGAACATTTTTTTTACATGAGAGCATAAAAGAGAAGAAAAATTAAGGTTTTAAGAGGGGAAAGCTGAAAGTAATCTTAAACTTCATAGTCAGAAATTTCACTCTGGCTTTTGGTATTGATTGGTAATGTATCACAGGCACAGAATTACATGCACTGCAAGAAAGCAGCAACTAACTATCCACAGGGGAGAGGAACATACTGAGAGACCGGCTCTCGAGAGTCAGAAAATGTATACTTGGACTGGGGCAACAACAACAACAAATTATATTTGTATTCCACCTTTCATGTCGAGAGGACATCCCAAGGCACTGGACAATCAAGAATGTGCAACTGAGCTGGGGTTTGGGATCAGGAGGGGGTGGGGAGGGTGGGAGTCAGAGGGTGACCGAAGGCTCGGTCAAAGAGGAAGGTCTTGAGAATTGGGGACAGGAGCAAGATCTGGTCTTATCCTGCTTTCAGGAGTGGATGTATTAAAGTACCCGAGGAAGTAAGAACCAAAATGTAAATGTAATTACAGAGCAATGTAACCATTGGTTGTTGTGTCCCACTGCAGCCTGGCTGAATGGGAATGTTACCTGTATTGAGCAGGTACCTATCTACCTTAAGAGGGGGTTATTGTCTCATTGGAGAATTTTCTTACCAGATCTCCCTTTAATCAGTGCTACAGCAGCGGCACTCATTCTGTGAAGAAGTCATTTTATTCAGCCTTCATCGTAGCACACCTTACATATAAAATATATATATATTTGTATTTAGGTATAAACTGTTTGCTCAGTCTAGTGAGAATAATTTGAAAGGATTTCCTCTGCATGTTTTGAGTGACCCACTAACTCAGTACTGAATGTTCTTGGCAGGTCAGTATGCACACTCTTCATTTCAAAACCAAAATTACTCACAACCAACTTTTCTGACAAGTAAGAGATTCCTCTACTTTATTTCAGTTTCCTCCTCAACTCTCCTGAGGGAACAGTGCTACAGTCCTCGGGTGTTTCACTGAATGCCAGTCCTTGTGTTTAAGCAAAGACAGTAAGTGCCAGCAGGTATTTTTATTGGGGGGGGGGGGGGTTGGGGAAGTTACTACCCATTGTGAGCTGAGCTTATGTGATAACCAGAGATATGAACTTTGTCGCAACTTAGCCAGATAGAGATCAGCAGTTTCTTTTTTGGGTGTTCTCTTCCTACAATAACATTAATAATAATCCCTGCATTTGATTTAGCGCCTTATCACATTGTTGAGACGTCTTAAAGCGTTTCACAGAATATATTGTAAAGTGTACTGACTGTGTATTTTGTGGGCGAAACACAGCTGTCAATTGTGCACAACAATGTCTCAAAAACAGTTGTGGATTGAGTAACAAATTTTATTTTGAGGGATTATTACCACCCAAAAGACTAACAACCAGGTTCTGACTTACTACGGGGTAAACAGAGGCGTGTGAAGTAAGGAAAATTGCCTACGTTTTCACCTTGCCTGGGAATAAAACCCAGGTCCTCTCATTTGCAAAGCTAGGGCACTAACCACTACACTACAAGACTCAACCTCCCTATCCCTGACCAACAACAACAATTTACATTTATATTGCATATTTCACGTCACAAGGAAGTCTCAGGCTGGGACATCTCTTTGGCTGCGATTCAACTTGGACTTCAACTTCCTGGTATATCCAGCTCAGTATCACACCATGTGGCATATTTACCTACTAAGCTATCAGGGAATCCCTCAACCTCTAATTAACATTTGGATTGTATATTCATTGTAGTTGCCAAGCATCTGGTGCTGTTTGTGTGATCCTGATTCACAATGTGATCGAAAGGGAAAGTTCATCTTTGCAATAAGAGTGTTTCCACAGCCTAACCGGATTCATAATATTAGGGACAAAGTTGCAGAATGCTTCTCAATGTTACTCTACAATCTATTATCCAACCCATCTCCAGATAAGGCAACCTATCACTCAGTGCTGTGGCTATTACCCGGGCCCCAAAGAATAGGGCCTCAGAGAAAATCATACCTTGTATGAGCACCAATGAGCCTGCAACAAGCTCATTGCAGAAACACATTTGTTTTAAGCATTTCATATAAAACATTGTTCAGGGAT